AGCTACAATCAAAAAAGAAAACCAAAAAACCTATGAGCCGGTGGATCCTTTTCCTACGATTACAAAAAGAATCTAAGTAATAGCTCGGGCTGTGAGTAAACAGCACCCAAAAAAGGAAGAGTAGAGAAATATCCTTCGGCACGATCTTCCTATAAAAAAAATTGAAAATAACAGAAAAAGTAATACAACAAACAAACTAATATTACCTTACTGTCGTTTAAGCTCCTAATATCAAGATCCATGCAAGGCAATCTCCAAAAGAGGAAGTGAGAAATGTAATAGATAACATAAACATAGTACCTAGTAGTATCTCTGTTAGCCCAAAAAATAGTATGATTATGAATGATCTGCAGAGAACAGAGAAACTCACTGGAAATCCAACCAGTGCAAGTAACAATCTTCCCAACACAAATGCTCACACATAAGGACTTCCTCCAAAAATAACCACCCCAGCGCATAGACAAAGCATACCACAAAACATAATACCAATCAAAATTACACCAACCAGCCATGGTCCAACCAGCCATTGTGTTATGAAAAATAAAAACCAGAGAAAACAACCTATCACTGGACAAGCAGATAAAAAGGTTCTCAATCCCGTACTGGAAGCCTAGACAAAACTGCATAGAATACTTATATTTGAGAAATTGAAAGCATGGAACAAAGCATAAGCGGACAGACATAATAACCCCCCCCCCCCCCCCCGGACAGACATAATAATCCTCCCAGGAAAATCAAACTCAGACGAGACAAAAACAGAACAGCCAAAGATACATAGAGGCACACCATGTAAGCAGGCTACCAAAAACACAAAAACACAACGGGTCAACCATGACGAATGTAAGGGACGAGCCCCAATTTATCAAGCATGAGCATGCCTTTAAGAGGAGAGGGAAGGTTAATAATAGGTAATTCTTGATAATACTCATTACTAGAGCCCAAGTTAGCCAACCAATTCGCACAAGCATTGCCTTCCCGGTAAATATGGGATATGGTAAAATTAAAACTAGTAAGTAACAGTTTAATTCTCCGAATAATGTAAAATTCGTTAGTATAAACAGTATTAGTAGCAGATATAGCTTGAATAGCAAGTTTAGAATCAACTTCAATATGCACATTCTGAATACCCAATTCCAAACATATCTTTAATCTTTGGGTTATACCCAAAATCTCAGCAGTTAACACAGATTTAGTAGACAGAGGCCCAGCAAAAATAGCAATAGGATTACCAATAGAATTACGGATAATACCACCCATACTTGCAGTAGTCTTCCCAACAGAACCATCCGTATTTAATTTAACGTAAGGAGTAGCAAGTTTAAGCCAATTCACAATATGATCCACCTTAGTAACATTAGCAACATTGATATCAATACCAAAATAGCTATCCAACCGATTACAGCTCTTAAATTTTTTTGAGAAAGGAGATTAACAGCAATTAAACACAACACCTTATTCCTCACATTGTTAATGATCTGATTGGCCCAAATTTTAATATTATTGTGTTTAGAATCATTCCTAGCTTTCCAAATATACCAAATAACAAAAATGGGAATTAAATAGAAAATATGCCCTTTACCTTTAGAAAACCAGATACCGAGAATTTCCTGAAAACTGCAATGTTTACTAAAGTTAACAAAATCAGCTAGGTTGAAAAAATGGCACCAAACCCTTCTAGCAATCATACTATTAACAAAAACATGTTGAACACTCTCAATGTTGAAGCAACATTGAAATTTAGAAGCAAATAAAAACCTTTCTTATAGAGATTGATATCCACGGGCAAATACTCTTTAAGGCACCTCCAAGTGAGCAAAGAGTAAGATAAAGGAATCGTGTTATGCCACAAGGAGCCAAATATGTGAGAGGCATCACCTTTAATACAAATATCCTCCCAAACTTTTTTAATACTAAACTTACCAGTGGCCGAAAGATTAAAGAATATGTTATCTTGGTTTTACACATTTAAAGGAATACTAACAATTTTCTCAACAATAAAGTTAGGAACCTCTTCACAGAGTTTAGCATGGTTCCAATCCCCATTAATAAAAAACTCTTTCACTCTGGTATTAATATAAGTATGGGAATTAAGATGAGTATCAATCGAAGAACACCCCATCCAATTATCTTGCCAAAAAGACACATCCCCATTACCAATCCCCCATTGAATAAATTTCTCGGCCTCCCATTTGATTTTACAAAGTGTTTTCCAAACAAAGGAGTCAGTATTTTTAAAATGACAGACAAGAGGGTTAAGATCCTTACAATACCTAACTTTCAAGAATTGAGCCCATAAACTCTTATTAGATCTAAACCCAAACCAAAATTTATGAGAAAAAAACATGCACCGTATCAGAAATGGACTTACCTCCAAGAGAACCTTCTTTAAAAACCCCGCAAATTTTTTTCCAACTAGCCCAATTAATGCAAGATTTATTATTGTTGGCACCCCAAAAAAACTTGTTTATTATTTTCTTCATTCTCAAACAAACCGTAGACGGGGGCTGTAAAGTATGAAAAAGATATATAGGTATCGAATTCAGAACACTTTTATTTAAAGTTAATCTACCACCAAAAGAAAGAAAATTAGAGGACCAAGTAAAGAATTTTCTTTGAAATATAGAAAAAATGTTTTCAAAAAGAGAGGTCCTCTTTCTGCCCTTAAAAAGAGGAGTCCCAAGATACTTAATGGGCAAAGAAGAAGAGCTAAACCCACACACTCTTTTAATTCTATCATGCCTACTATTGTTAACAGAATTGCTAGTAATAAAATTACTTTTGTCCCTTTATATATATATATATATATATGAAACTCATAATTTTTTTTTCATGTTTAAGCCAACAAAGGATGTTATTAACAAACCTGATTGAAAATAGATTATATATAAACTCTTTATTGCTTTGCACTACCAGTGACAAAACAGCCATCACTATACTCCTTGTACACTAAGCCACAACTTAATGGCCTTAACAAATTAAAACTGATAACATAACAAAGGAACATATAGCATTGATGTAGTAGATAGCTAATAATCCAACATTGTTACATTTATATATATTATTTAAAACATTCATGATTCAACATACTAGCTAGTTAATCTTTCTGCAACTAATCCTGATCTCCCCTTGTGTGCCTGTGAGAGGATTCAAATCCCCCATATTGATGATTGCCGCAGCAAAGTCAGTAGAGAACTGATCAGAATTTGTTGTGTAGGATTTCACTTGAGAGTCTGTAGATCCTCCATTAAAGAGCTGCTGATCTGAGTGTAAAAGACCCTTGTTGTTAACTAAATTCACATAGTAGTTGTTGTCGAACGTAGTTGGAGTCTGGACGTCGAGATCTGAGAAATTATCGTCTCCTCCAACACTTGGGCAGTTGGCTTGTAACGAGCTGGCGTATGAAGAGTCTATGTTTGTTTCATTGTAGATTCGGTTGCGAAATGTAACGCATCTTGCCTGACCAATTGTGTGAGCTCCTGCGTATAATTTTTTTTGTATTAGGATATTTTGATAAAAATTAGCTAAAATGAGTCTTAAGCTAAATCTAGCTTAAATCCAACCTGAAACAAGATACGAAATAAAAAAAAATAAAAAATAAAAAAATAAAAATAAAAAATAATAAAATAATAAAAAAGATACCAAATAATCTTTATGATTTTGATTGGGATGACTTTCTTAGTGTTTCTTAATATAAACATTATAATTATTTTACTAAAAACTGAGTTTAAAATTAAAGCAATAAAAAAGCCATTTCAAACAAAGCCCAAATCTAAAAAAAATTCAGATAAGTTGATAAAATTTAATTAAATTTAATTTATCAGATCAATAAAGCTTCGAAATTTAATATCTTCGAAATTTATTAAAATTGAATTTATATGATTTAACAAATTCTATTTGTAGCCAAATTAACTTCCCTAAACTAAGAGTAGAAGTGTAGTTGTAAAAACTAGTACCTGAGAGGGCGATGAGGTCCGTAGTGGAGAGGCCTTTGTTGGAAAAAGCTGTGATGAGAGCACTCAAGTCAAGATTTGGACCAGGAAGATCACTATTGGCCGTGCTGAGACTTGCTGTAGTTGAGTCTCTTCTCCCAAGCTTCACCGTCCATGAAGGCCCCCCCAACTGGAAAATAATATAGTTGCATGCATTAATTAATAATTTTATAATTAGATAGAATATTGATCTGTTCAAAAAAATATATTCAACTTTCAAATTTAATAGGGATTCAATCAATTTAATTTTTTGTTAAAATTAATCAAAATTATGAAAATAATATAATATAACATTTTAAATAGCATCGATCATTCAGTAATAATAAGTTGCTAATTTTCTCTTAATAATCTCCCTAAGGTATGACTCTCTTCAACTCTCTCTCTCTCTCTCTCTCTCTGAGTGTGTATGTAAAATTTGATAACAACAATATTAATGATTAGCTACATTAAAATTGTTGGTGGCCTGTTGATTTTCTAGGCGTTGTTTCTCCTCCTTTAGTTCCTAAGGGTTTGTTTTATTTTGTTGGGTTGATTGTTAGTCTTTTCTCTTGGGTGTTGGTTGTCGGGTTCTGTTGTTTGAGTTATATGCATCCTTTTATTTTTTTGGATGTTCTTGCAGCTTAACTTCTTGTTGTTCTTCTTTTGTTTGTTTGTTGATGTTGTTTCGCCTCTTATTGGTGTTTGTTGTGGTGGTATTGTGTTGTTATTTTATTGGGTGTTTCGTAACTTATCTCTTTGTTTTGTAGGTGTAATGCTTTTTGTTATATTCTGTGCTTCCTCTTTCATTTTTGCAAATTATCAGATTAATTCTGAATGCTGATTAATATATTCAAGTTTGGGCTTTAATTATTGGGTTTTTGGTTGCTTGGTTTCTTATTTTTTGTTTCTTATTGTAATTAGATATGGATCTTTAAACTGTTAAGTTTTCTTTCCTCTTTTGATTGTAGCTCATTGAGCATATAGTGAGTGGTGGAATTTTCTAAGGACTTGTAATCTTTTTCTTAAAAAGACTAACTACATTAAATCAATAATCTAATAATTTAAATAAATTATGCATGATTTGTTGATCTTAAATAATTGAGAAAGCCATTGACTAATCATGAAATAAAGCTTGGTTAATTTTCTTACAGCAACAACGGAGTCACGAGCAGCTACAGCAAGAATATCAGCACAAGAAACTATCTGAGTGCAGACAGCCTCGACCTGTGACTTTATGCTATCGATCACATCGAAACCTCTCAGTGAATTTTTGTTTGGAAAAGCTGTTTTCTCTCCAGTAAAATTGGCCGTATCATCGAGCAAAACTGAGCCATCACAACCCTGTTAAGCCATCACATTAAATCACTTTAATTTGCTGATAACTTTCATCAAATAGTATCTTGCACTAAGATGGTGAAATTATATTAAATGGGCAGTACTTAATTATGCTAGGCTTCAACTTTATAGGTAGCATGTATTAATGATCTAAAATACAAAAAAATAAAATAAAATTGGGATTATACAATTATCATTTCGTTTGGGACCGTTTTCTAACTTTTTTTTAATGCTGTTTTTTAGTACAAATTTTTTAAATTAGAAATTTATATTAGAAAACTGCTTTAGAAAACAAGAAAAAATTATTCCAAATAAAATCTAAAATCTGCTAATAATGAGTTTGAAAATAATTAAATTAAGATATTATAGGTGTAATCAATTAAAATTTATATTGGTTTTACAATAAATTTAAAAATTTAGAAATCTATATTGACCGTTGTTTTATCAAAATTTTCTATTTTTTCTATTTTTAGCCACTTTTATTTACCAAATAATTATGAGATTATAATATCTATAACTAAAATTAATTTGCTGCCAATATTTTAAAAAATTAATAAAAAATATAAGTCATATAATTAGCAATTTGTTTCCTCGATGAAAATATCATGTGCCTATTGTATGAATAAACATAATAATTTTGTTATTACTATTAAGGGGCGGATCCACTATAAGCCCAGGGGGACAATTGCCACCCCCCTTAAAAAAATAATTATATGATTCTTCAGGTAATTTGTTCTTATTCATAAATTTTTTAGTCTTTATTATAGAGATTTTTTGGCAATTGCTTCCCCTAAAAGTTTTCAAATACTATGGTTTTTAGGCAATTGCCCCAACACAATACAAGAGTGTTTAGGCAATTGCCTCCGGAAACCCTCGTAGGGGCATTTGCCCCTTGACCCCGCGACCTGACCAGTCAAGTCGAATCCTGCAAGGGAGCGTTGACTTCTTGGACCCCTGACATATCTGCGAAGCATACAACGATCAAGGATATGAACAAATAAGGCTAAAGGAGCAGTGCCCCCGAAACAAATTTTGATTGTAAAGATATTTATGAAAAAAAAAAAAAAACTCTAAACTTTTACTTATAAGTTTGCCCTACCTAAAAATTAAGACTTGTTCCACCCTTGATTAAGATCTGATTTTTTGGATACTTCATCAATTTTTATTCATTTACACAAAACTATTTCTTAAATTTTTAATCGCTTTTGATCACTAAGCTTCATTTAAGAGAGAGATTATTAAGTGTAGAATTCAGACACAGCTTGCATTCGGATTCAAATAAGATCAGGCCACGTCGCCTGTACATAGGCTTTGTATAAATTGTAAAGGATGTACATGTGATGTTTACTATTCTGATTGGGATTCAGTCGCTGTGTAGACTCCGTACATAATATTTTTTTCTTTTAATGACTGTGTAAGAGCTATATTTATTTCTAATCTGCTTCACATTTCCTTAAAGATTATGATATAAAATTATCATGTTGTATATTAGTAAATATAAAGTATAGCTAATAGATATGTAAATGCATAAGAAGTTTATGATATATATATATATATATATATATATATATATATGTATTTATATAACAAAGAGAAACTAATTAGCGAAAAATGTTTTATAGCTGAACTAAAACTTGCATTAACAAAAATAAAATAATAATAATATCAAATAGTAATAATAATAAAATAAATTTTTAATATAATATTGATTTTAGTAATAAAAAGGAGAATAATCATATAAGTTATGTTGAACCTAGACTCTAACTTAGAAAAAATAATAATAAATTAGCTAAATGTTATCTAACTCAAAGAAAAATAATAATCAGCCAAAATTTTGCCAAAAAACACATTAAGGGCCAACTAAAAAGGTTTTATTGTGCTGAAAGTAGCTTACTTGTAATTAATTAAAAAAAAATCCATGCTATAACTATATTTTGAAGATTAATGTCTAATCATATCAATGGAAATCTTATTTGTCGATCGAACAACTGCATCTAGTGTTCAAGTAAATTTTTCCAACTATACTCTAGTAGCTGGTATGCAAACCGTTAGTGTTAAATTCATAAAATGCTAAGTTTCTACTTATAATTAAGTAGATAATAGCTATTAGAACATGCACAATATCTTCGTCCCTCCGTAGGATCTTACCAAGAAGACGAGGTGCAAGGTCTAGGCCTCTACGGCATCGATTTAATAGAAACCCCACAGCAGTAATGCATTCGCCGCCAATAAGTCCAGGTAAGTATTGGACTGAACAAGCAGACCGGAGGTAGGGAATGCGAATGGTGAAGAACAAGGAAGCGACGGCGAAGCGAGAAGGCTGCGAAAACGAAGGCTCTTCAACGTCGGATGCTTGAGAGTTTGAGAGATGCGATTCACAACTCGCAAGACTGGCTGGATGTCGGGATGGGCAGGCATGCACAGAAAGGGCAAAAATTATTTTTTAGAGGGGGCAGAATTCCAAAAAAGGCCATATAGGACATTAAATTTTCTTTTTTTTTTGAGAGTGGGCATTTGCCCACCCTGAGCTGGCCGGGGATCCGCCTTTGCGTGAGTTGGTAAGATGCAATTGATTTGTATTTAATTAGTTTTAATCATTTTTTTATTTTAAAAAATGGACGATCTTTAAATGTAGAATACTTGTCAGGATGCATGCATGTTGGAAGCCTCATTCTAGAGAAAAAAAAAGGCTAAGAACTACGGTCTGAATGAGTTCAACCGGCTCGTTTATTGTAAAAGAGAGAAAATGTTTACGATTCAAATTTTTATTATAATAAAACGATAACAAAAATGAAAAAGGAAAGAGAAAATAATAAAAATTTACTTTTTAGAAGAAACTGCAAAATATTTTATTAACATTTTAAATGACTTTGTAATCATAATTATAAATGCTAATATATGCATTTTATATTAATTTTTTTCTTAAGCAAGTAGGCTCACAAGCTTAGGAGTTGAGTTGGGGCGGGCTTTAATTTGACTTGTTAGCTCATTAAATTTAGCTCAAGAACCATTTATTATGTTAAGTCTCACGAGTCCACATGAATCATTCACGAATTACATATAAAAAAGGGTGTGAATATCCTTGCTAGACTCCAATGTGATGTAGAAGTATATGCTACGTACCTTTGAAAAAAAAAATGATTTTGTATCTTAACATTTTGCTCGTTTGTCATAAATTTCAAAGCTACGTCGGAGTATTGTGCGTTGGTGTGAAGAGAATCTTAAGCCTGTCAAATAAAGTGGGTGCTACGTCGGCTCTTTCTGCTAATTTGGTTGTACATGGATGCAGTCTTCTACTTACATTTTACCATTTCAACTTTAAAGAAAATAAAAAATAAAAAACTCAAAGTAAATTGCTTGGAGCCCACAAAATTTTTTTTTTGGCAGTATAAGAAGACTTCTTTCAATTCTTCTACTGTGATATTGCTAGTAATAGTTGGAGAATTATGATAGAAATTGTAAGTGGAGGATAAAGGATAAGAGTGAAAGAATTTTATATTAAGGAAAAAAAGAAGAAATACTCAAAATTTGTATTGAATTATTTTCCCTCAAGTTTAGCTTGAATAAATGGCTAGGTATAAAGCCTATTTATACTATTTCATGGAAGATTCTATATCCAGCTACTATATAGCTCACTTTAGCTATGATTTTAAAATAATATATATATATATTCATTACCAAAAAGTAGAGCTATCATAGCGCAAATTTTGACATATCCTGACGATTATAACCGTCACTTTTTTCTTTGCAACAGTTTTAAAACTAATGCACCCCTGCTGCAATTGCAATGCGCTGCAATGACAGCCTATAGCGGTTTAAAGACTGGTGAGGTAAATTTGACGAAGTGCTATATTTAACAACAGTAATAACCAGTGCAAACGTATAGATTTGCAGCGATCATAACCACCATAAATCTAAAAAATATAAACTAATTTCTAGAATTGTGGCAGTTGTAACCGCTACATATATGATACGTTGTGGCGGTTATAAATGCTACAAACATTCAAGAAAAAATTTTTAAATGCAGAACCAGAATGACCACTACAATCTCATATGCACATCAACCAAATCTGGTGTACATAAAGCTACCATTATATGGGCTCCAAAAATTCGGCCCCAGCCTCCGCACGATATGCTTATTCTTTTCGGGGGAGTTTTAATAGAATTAAATTTCAGGGTAAATTTTGGAAGGTAGATGGTTTTATAGATAAGGCACTACCTAGATTTTACCCTCATTTTGCGAGGACTTTATGTTTGAGTTCTGTTTCATATAGGTGCAAGCCCCTATAGTTAATTACCCCTCCCAGTAACGAGAGAGAACTTTTGATTAAGGCTAGCTGTCTATAAGATAAGTTGTATTCATAAATACATGATATCAGGCATATAGTAGCAGCATGGACAATGGATATTTGAAGATTTGGGTTGAGATATTTGAGAAGTTTGATATTTAAAATTAAAAAAATTTTACCATCTTACACTTAAAGCGGATGGTGAGGGAATGGATGATGTACCCGATCAAGATCCTAAGGTTCCATCATCTCGGGCCATCATAGCCCCTAGTCTACTTAGTCTGAGGAGTTAGTCGACCCAACCTGATAGAAGGATCCTTATTGGCAGCCATGAGTTGCTTCGTTCAAGGGTACCTTGTAGACATGCGTTGAATATTTATCTAAGGGGACAAATTTTAATCTTCCTTAGCTAACAAAGGGCTTTATGCCCTTTCGATCATATCCTTTTGATTCATGTCTCAAATATTTCATGTCATTAAAGAACATATTGGCTCTGGTCATAACAAATATTTCATAGTTCCATTTGGTAGCAAAATATCTCGGTTCAAAGGGCCCTGGGTCATAATCTTTTATCCTGTGATGCTATTTGGCGGCAAAACTGTCGGTCAGAGGACACGTACCACGTCCTTATAGATAGGAGATTATTTTAGAATGGATTCTAGTGATATTTTTGATTTGGTATTTGACTCTATGTGAGCTAAAGTTATATTCAAAATTTTCCACTTGGTAAATTGTTGCGGAGGGTGGATGGATTTTTATTTTTAAGTGTTGATGGATTATTTCAATTTTAAATATCTTAGAATTTGATATTTTTGGATTTTTGTGGATATTTGGGTGGAGTTTTGGAAGGCATTTGAAAGCATTTGTGAACCCCTCCAATTAAGAAAAGCATTAATACGATCATCATCATGGTGTTTAGGGTCACTTCCATTTCATGACTAAACCTTGTCGACTTTATCAATTCACTGATAGAAGATTGAGTTTGTCATAGGCTGTGCATTTATTAGTTAATTCTCATTATTATAGGCCTTAAAGGCCTAATATGAATGCATTAAGATAAATGTACCAGTCGTCGCAACAATATGTTTATTTGATAGTTTGAACCCTATCGACTCTTATTAATCCACATAGAAGGATCATGTTCAAACTTGAATTCACTTATTGACCCGCATAACATCTTAGATGTCACGTGTATACTTATAACATGCTTGTTGGGGCCCACACAAGTTTTAAGATTGCATTTATCTGTTTTGTGTGCGTTTGGAATGTCTGAAAGGTCTTTTATGGCAGCCTGTAAAAATTTGCAGTTGATGTTGTCACTTTGTATTTTGCTTGTAAACAACATATTAGGTGTAGAACAGATTTCCTATAATAGCTCGTAGGAGCTTACATTCGTCTCATTTATTATGCATTTCTCTGTGATTTTGGCCCTCACAATACCTCCAATACTACCATAACATTCACTATCTGTTGATGCCCATCACTTGTAAGTATGTTATTACAATTGTGGCCAACTCCTTGCATACACTTCAAGCTTCATTATGTATATTAAGTTGTCATGTACATCATATGTTTGAACTTTCAACTCGCAAGGGATATATGTGTATACTTGCTACAGTATTATTATGGGCGTCGTGAACAACTATTATAGACTTATATACTCACGATATCCATTATAGAGACATTATTAGATTTATAAACTTTTCTCATAAACCTATCAACTGATTTGTAAGGGCTTAACACATTCGCCTTTATTTTGATTTTGTCCACAAAGCATCAATGTAGTCAATATATGCCCTTTGTACTTGCTATATGCGGCCTTCCAATGTTCATAAGGAACTAATACATTTAACTAATCTTGGATGATGATCGAAGAAGACGACTTGGATCCTTGCTTGGAGCAACCTTTGTGAAACCCCTCACAAACTCCCCCTCATAAGATCCTCTCTCTCTCCCTTTCCCTCCCTCTCCTCTAGGCTCTCTAAGGTCAAGACAATAGCAAAAGATAATTTTTAGGGTAGAACAAGAGCTCTTAAATAGAAGAGTTTTGGAATAACTCTTAATTTAAACAATCCGGCTTTATCGTTCAGGATGATTTAAATATCATCCTGTACGATCAGTGCAAATTAAGCTCAATCAGTCAGGACAATTAGGGGCGATCAGAAGGTTTTTGTTCATATCGTCTAAGCCGTTAGTATATCGTCCTATACGATTAGAACAACAAATTGGTGAATATCATCAAGACAATCGCACTGAATGGATATCTAGAAGATTGGAAAATAGTTTGATTATCTAGGCTGATTTTACGATCGTCCTAGATGATTAGTTGAAATCCATGAAAATTATCCAAAGCATCGCCCTGAATAGAAGGTGGCTGATGTTGATCATCCAGGAATAACTAAGGTTTTTTGAACTGATAGTCCTGGATGATCCTGTGATCATCCAGGATAATTTGATCGAGCAATCAAACCTTAATTATTTTTCTTAATTACTCGATTAATTTAGGCATAATTATGTTGTATCATTCACAACGATGTCCAAAAATAAACTATACATAAATAAATCTAGCAGCTGATTCTTTTTTATTTGAGCATATCATCCTGGACGATACAAATATCGTCCAAGACGATGTGCTTAATGATAGCTTCCTTAAGTAAGATGTCCTAATTAGGGTTTCTATTTTTAATATATCATCTAGGCCAATTTGTGGATTGTCCCGAACAATGTGACCAAAAATAGAGAACTCTAAAAAAAGAAAGAAATTTTTCCCTATGTGTGTGTATGCAAGGTTACTTAATATCAAAAACTACATCATTTATAATAGACTCAAGAAAGGAAAAAGTTTACAAACTGACTTAGACTTAGTCTATCCAATCTTCAGCTGGTTCAGATTTAAGTTTGATCTTATAGAACTGAAATATTAGTAAACAAGACAGTCGTAGAGAAACAAAAGTGTTTGCTATCATAAAAATTATACTCCCTGAAACCAGATTCTCAACAGTCTTGTATTCACCTAAAATTTCGCAGCCTCCTATCATCTCCCCCATTTATGGGTAACTACGGAAAACTGGGCTTCCCGCAACGCTAGAGAAAAGCATGAATGGT